TCTGCAAAGCATCACTTCTGATCAAGGAACCTATTTCACAACAAAAGAAGTGAACCAATGGTCTCAGGCCCTTGGCGTTAACTGGTCTTATCGCATAACTCATCACCATTAAATTGGTGCCCATTCGGACACCAACTAGAATGGTTTACTGAAGATTCAGTTATAACAGTTGAGATACAAATCCACAAAGGGGTGTAGTTCTGTCTTACGGGTTCCAGTAGATGCTCTGAATCAGTATATGGTGCTCTCTTTCCTACAGCCATAGTTTCAGGAATCAAGTTGTATAATTGGAAGAGGCTCCTGGCCCTATTGTGCCTAATAACACACTCCCACAATGACTGCTTCCTGACTGAGCAACTTGATGAATTGATGGTTTGGAGGCCTTAGTTGTCAGGGGGAATATGGTTCCAAAGGAAAACGCAGGGATTCCATTGAACTAGATGAGCTGATACCTGGCCAACAGATGCACTAGTAACCATTACACCATCTTTTCCTAATTAAAAATCCTAATACCACTGAGGTATATGCAGAAAAGGGATTACTCCCCTGCCCAACACATTGATTCTGATTAGAAGAGACAGTTGGGGGCAGTATGCAAGGGAGTCAAAAGAGATTATGTCTGGAATGCAGAGCATTCTCTAAAGTACCTCTTGGTGTTTCCGTGCTCAAGAGTAAATATTAATGGAAAAGCATAGCAACCCAAACAAGATGACAAAACTTTGGAGAACCCAAGACCTTGAAGAATGAAGACAAGGTTCTCCTAGCTGAGCAAAGGACTTAGACTATGTGTACTTGTTAGTAAATTTCTTAGTTCAGCAAGCCATTCCTCCAGACCAAGGGTGCTTGCGCCCTCTGGCAAGTTTCCCGCCATCAGGCTGTGAGTTTCATTCCTCTTCCTGTTCTCCTGCATGAGGCCTTGTCTCAGTCATGGCAGGGGGATTCTACAATCTCAGTTCCTTTCTCAGTATTGTTCAGACCTGAATAGCGTAGCTACTATCATGCTACTACTTAGAGTCTTCTTTTACCACTGTACCACCTTTTACTAGTTGAAAAAATCTGTAATATTTAATAGGGAACAGGCAATATTACCCATTCAAAGCACTGATGAGGTTCCTGCTTCCTGTCTAGATTATGAGTGCCGTATCAATAGAATAAACATGAACAACCTCCTGACCTTACCCTGTTTCTTTATACTTTACACGGTTCCACATTTAAAAGACCTCAGTGGTCCAGCCTTCCAGTCTAGAAACAACTCTCCTTTACCCTCCCTAGTGCTAAGTGGCTCCATTTTACTATTCAACTTCATTTTTCATTAAATTCCATCATGTATTTTTTTATCCCTTCCTATTTTAAGCAGAAGACCTATTGTGCAAGGTAAGGTTATGGAGTATGGACCATTTTTATAATTTTTCTATCTATCTGCCTATCTATCTATCTATCTATCATTGTCATCTATCTTCAGCATACGATTTAGAAACTTGGAATAATGTTTTCAGTTATTCCTTCTGCCACTATAATATTGCAATAATACAATACAGCATTTAAAATCAAATCCAATAATTTTATAGATATCCCCTCTGGAGAGTCTAAAAGCAATATTAGTACCTATTTATTGAGTGTTCAACTTGCCCTTTGTGTTTTCTTAAGATGTATATACTAGCATCCACATTTTCTCCTATAGTAATCCTTACAACAAGCTAACAGGGGATATACTAACTTTCTTGTCTGAGTGTGTAGAAACCGAGGTTCTAAGGGTAAATAACTCACCTGAAATAAGCTAGACGGGGCAGATTTCTTGTCCAAGACTCTAGTGTGGACAGACCTATCACTCTAATGTCCTCCTCAGTCCTAACTTTTTGTGTGACTGATTCAAAAATATCTATCCCATGAGATTCTATCTCTTTAGAATCTAAATGAAATGTGAACATTCATTCTCCAGCCTCCCTTCAAATTCCAAATGTCTCTAATTTTAGATGAAAACCCAACTGCCTAGGATGGAAGTCCACATCACAACAAATTAGCTAAGTGGTTCCTACACAGGCCTTATTTATAATCTGAGCAATTCCATTTCTGAATAATAGGTTGTGCATAAAGAGCAGTCTTGTGCTTTATGTTAAAGATAACAACTATGTTTTAAAATAAACTAGATACAAAATTAACATAGTGCCTTAGTATAGAAATGGATCTGTGAATATTTATTAATAGAATGCAACAACACTTCCCACTGAATACTGGAATAGCCCATCCTAACAAACGCTTGTTAATGACTTAGTCAGTGGAGATGGCATTAGGTGTGCTTAACCTTCTCTGTGCATGCTGCTTGGTGTTATACAGGGAAAGAGTGTTCCCTCTTTTTCCTCTTCAAATACCAGATTTTTCATGTGCCCCATGGTCTAACGGTCTTGCCTGTACACATGCTCACTTCCTGGCTGATCTCCCCATATCTCACCTTCGCTCACACCATCTTGGTGCTAATTGTGCCCAGACTGATACACCTAATTGGACTTCTCTTTTGGTCTTCAGACTCATATAGCCAACTACATACTTAACGGTTTAAATGGATTTCTAATAGTCACTGCCACAGGTGATGTCCCAAAGTAATATTCCCCTTAAACCTGTCCCTCTCATTATCTTCCCCAACACAGTTGATGGCAACTTCCAGTTAAGTATGGAGCCCTTCCTATACAGGGGAAGTCCATGGGCAACCCTACCGACCCTACCTTCAACATAGATCAAAAGTCTGACTGCGTCTCTCGGCACCTCCAACTATTGCTTCGCCAGTGATCTCTTTTCTTAAGAGATGTAACAGCTCCCTAACTGGTTTCCCTGTTCCCTGCCCTTGTCCTTATTATAGTCTATTATCAAATCAGCAGTGAGAGTAATCCCATTGAAAAATGAGTCAGGTAAGGGGCTGGGGATTTAGCTCAGCAGCACTGTGCCTGCCTGGCAAGCGCAAGGTCGTGAGTTCGGTTCCTGGTACTGGAAAAAAAAAAAAAAAGAAAGAAAGAAAAATGAGTCAGATAACATCAGTCCTCTGTCCCAGTGACCTCCCGGATTTCTACTTAATTCAAAGTGAAAGCTGAAGTCCTTAAGTGAGCTAAGGCCCTCCACCACTGAGTACTAACCCCCTTCCCTGCAACCCTGCTGCCACAACTTGCCTCTTACATCAGTTCCAGCCACACAGAGGCCTCCTTGCTGTTCCTAGGGTGTCCAGGCACTCTGCTCCCCACACCCTGTCTTCTCTGCCTGTCCCCTGATATATCCACATGGCTCCCTCCTCAAACCTGGGGGTCTTTACCCCCATGTCACCTTCACCAGGAAGACTTCCCTGACCACCATATCTAAAATTACAGCCTCTGCTCCCCTTGTCTCTCCCTGCTTTCCATTTCTATTTACACTGAGCCACTAGCCAACTTATTACACAGTCCACTTATTTATCTAGTTTGTCCCTGGTTCCTGCCTAGAATGTAAACTTTGCCGAGGCCTGGCTTCGGGCTGGTAAGTGTGGACTGTGCCTGCCCGGGACCTAATCTGCTGCACTCAGGTCTCAGATCCCAGGACTTCAGTCAGTGCTTGAGTCTCTCTCACTCACATAAGGGGACCAACCTGGGCCTTTGAGCACCTTGGGTGAAGAGAAACTAATATGGGCATCTGTGTCTCCTTGTTTAGTCATGAAATGTGCACTGAGCACCCAACGAGGTCAGTCTGTCCCTGAGTCTAGCTGGTGTGGTTTGTTGGGGAGCTACTCCACCATGGAATGCCAAGGAATCCGGGCAGGAAGTTATTCCAATGAGCAAACAACGGGGACAGTTAGACACAGTGAGGTACTCGTGTTTATCAGGAGCTACATCCAATACCTGCTTTCCACAGCCATCACTAAATCAGGGCATGGTGTGTACCCTGACTCATGTGACGTAACGCAGGTGAGCTGAGGAAGCTGAGCTTGGCAGGACGGCCCCTGGGTCTGTCCGACCACTGGGCTAATCCACTGCAGTCCTTTCTTCTCACCTGCAGATGCCACAGTGTGAGGGGCTTGCCTGGAAACCCCCCACTGGCCCTACCTCTGCCTTGGGGAATTTTAATACTCACAGCAGCTTATAGAGTGCTGGCTATTTACCGATTTACCATAGATGTTTAGGAAGAAAGATACATTTTCCTGGAAATATCAGCTTTACATTTATCCAAATAAACAACAAAATGGGCACAGGAGGCAAAGAAGGATTATGACAGGGAAGAACTATAAACTATAAATTATTTGGCAAGGAATAACAAATAATTACGTTGTCAAACATACATGGCACTGCTATGGCCTGAGTTTTTGTCCACGGAGAATTCACGTGGAAATCCTAATTCCCAAGGTGATGGTACTAAGAGGTGGGGACTTTGGAGATGATTAGGTCATAAAGGTGGGACCCTGATAAATGGGATTAGTGCCCTTGTAAAAGCCAGGTGGAAGGGGTAGCGTGGAGAAAGTCAGGAGGACTCCCCTGCCCCTTCCACCATGGGAGGACCCACCCAGATGATACTTTCTATGAAGTAGGGGCCATCATTAGCAAATCTACCAGTGCTTTGGTCTTGGACTTCTCAAGCTCTTAGGGAAGAAGTGTCTGTTATTTATAAACAATCTAATCTATAGTATTTTGTTATAGAAGCCCGAAGAAATAAAAACAGGGACGGTGTACCCTTTATGTATGGCCCTCTTGTAAACAATTACTAAGATTAGGTCACTTAATATTCTGTATGATCTACAAAGTAGCACTATTCATCATCGCTGTTTTCCAGAGGTGGTAAACTGAGGCACGGAGAAGCTAAGTCATTTGCTTAACTCATAGTCCCTAGGAGAGGGTAGGCAGGATTTGAACCCAGGCGATTGGGGTCAAGGGTGCGCGCTCTGAGGATACAGTCTTGGTACTCTTAAGACAGCGAAGCTTTGGAGCATGGGCCTCGAGACGCCAGGGCAGGGGCTCGGGGCGCGGGGCGCTGTGGTTCCCGCAGGTCACCTGGGGTGGCTCTGGTATTGTTCAATAACGGCGAGGTTCTTGACGAGCTTCCAGCACAGCTGCGTCCTGAACGCCTCCTTCAGGTTCCCTGTCGGAGCCTGGGCCATGCCTGCTGGGCAGTGACACCTCCAGCCGAGCGGCTCCCGGGGCGGTGGGAGTCACGAACCCGGCGTCCGTTGCCATGGCGACTCCAGGGCGCGAGGGCAGCCCGGGAACCCAGGGGCGGGGGCGGGGCGGGGGCGAGAAGCGGAAGCTGCTGGTTTTCCGGAGAAGAGCGGTGTCTGCCCAGGGCCCCTGCCCCTCCTCTGCCCTTCCTCTGCCCCTCCTCTGCCCCTCCTCTGCCCCTCCTCTGCCCCTCCTCTGCCCCTCCTCTGCCCCTCCTGACTCACGGTTGGCCTTGGACGCGTACTTCTCCCGCAGGGCTGCGGTGGAAATGTCTCCAGCAAAGCCGCAGCCCTGTCAGTGACTCTGCTACGTCCCCCCACCCCGTCCCCGATCCTGTTTGCTTCCTCCCCTGGCACACACTGAGCTCAGCCTCTCTCGCGGACCCACGCGCTTGGAGGCAGGATTGGATCCTTGTCGTCCTACACCAACAGCCTCTCTGAGTGTTAGACCCCCAGCTTGGTGGCCGTCCTTTCCTTGGCCTCCCACCCTGTGCTGGAAGTCACCTTCGGGGAGGATGACAACTAGTGCACCGTCTGATAACGATGCGCGTGACGAGCTCAGCCCGAGGCTCGCAGGGCAGGGTCCCAAGCGGAGAGCAGGTGCCTGACGAATTCACAGTGCCTCGGCAGAGATTAAACACCCCTACACTCCTGTTGAATGTGAAAGTCAACCCAAGGTGTTAAGTTTTACACTGTGCAGTAAAGAGTGGAACTCGACTTTACTACATTTCTACCAGCAATGGAAGCTTTGCTTATCCTTTGTTTTAAATTCTGTAGCACTCATTGATGACTGAGCGGTGATATCTACGCTAATACCAGTATGTCATTGCCTTGTTTGGGAGTTACGCATCCTACCTCTCCATTTCACTTGTCTACAGAAAAATACATTTTTTTTCTCTCCCCTATAATAACTATGTGGAAAAGATTTTTGCTTTAGATGCTCAAAATACAAAATCACTGTAGCATGATCACTACTCCTGTGTTTAAAGACACGGATGAAAGCCCCCCAAATGCCGAACAAAAATCTTAACCGGTACTAAAATAATCTTCTGCGAAGTTTTGTTTTCCTTTGGGGAGTGGAAGGGAGCAAATGAATTACTTTTACTCTACAGAGGTTTTTTTATTTTCAAAATCTAACCTCAAAGTTTTTTCTAACTTCAAATTTTATTTAGGAAATTTCTTTTATATAATGAAAATCTTTTAAAGAAAGAAATGTACATGTCTACAAGTTATTTTTCTTAAGTATTTTTTTCATACTACAGTACATTCTTGAAACAGAAAGATTAAAATTCCAAGTGAAAATAAAAACCCGATCCATTTAGAATGGGGCCAAGGCAGTACAAAGAATGAGATAAGCTACTGGCTGTGTTGCTCATGCAATTGTAAATGAATATTTTGGAGCTGAGGAAAGATCTCATGAGTCATTGGTCAGGTCTGTACAGCATTTGTTGACTGATCCTTACTGCATGGTTACACCATCCACAGAAGCATACTGAACAAAACATCGTTGTTTGAACCCTGGCCTTAGCACTTAGCACTTGTGGAGGAGACAGTTTTGATGATGACAGTGTTTGAAAGTATGAACTACACAACAATTCTCTCCTTGTCAGTTACCTATATCTTACCTTTCAGGCATTCTGACTTGTGAAATTGTCCGCTGCAGAGCACATTCTCCCATACTAACTAGGGTTGGCACTATCCAAGCACTTCTTATATTAAATCCAGCCTTGATTTATCACATGTTGAATTCGTTGATGGTTTTTAGCAGAAAGTGCATGATCTCTGGGTAAAATTAAGAAAAAACAAAAAAACGGGTTCTGAAACTTAGAATGTTAGAGACGTTGTTTAACCTTTCAGAGCCTGTGTTCTCACAAGTAGAAACTGGGTAATGAACTTTTCTCAAAAGTGAGTGGGCACACAGGCGTGGTGGCACACACCTGTAATACCAGCACTTGGGAGGCTGGGGCAGGTGGGAGGCTGAGGCAGGTGGATTGTGTTGGGTTAGAGATCAGCCTGAACATAGCGAGACCTTCTCAAAAAGAAAAAAAAAAAGTCAGTGAAGAGAGCCACAGATATAGCTCAGTGGCACAAGCACCTGCCTGGGAAGCTGGAGATCCTGAGTTTGATTCCTGGTACCAAAAAAGAAAAAGAAAGTCAGTGGGGAGTAATCCATAAAGCAGAGAAAGTCTGAAGCCCACATAATATACTGCAAAACTAATCTCAGCCAGATTTTCTTTTTTTTTTTTTTTCTTTTGTTTTTTTCTTTTTCAAGACAGGGTCTCACTATGCAGTTCAGGCTGGACTTGAGCTCACTTTGTAGCCCAGGCTGGTCTGAAACTCACAACGATCCTGCTGCCTCAGCCTCTCAAGTGCTGGGATGACAGGTGTGTGCCACTAGGCCCAGCCCAGCCAGATTTTCAAAGGAGTATATCGTATCTTCCCAAACCACCACTGAGAGACTAACCTTTATTGTGTAGAGTTTTCAGGTTTTAAAAAGTTGAAGATTTCATAAGCTAAAATGATTTTTTTCCTTGTTCAGTGAATAGGGCTTTGGGCACAAATTAAAAACACACATGTATAGATACAAGGTATATTTATGTGAAACTATCAACTACCAATTATTAAAAGAGATAACATTTCAGATTAAGTAGCATGAGGATTTGATTAAGAGTCAAGTCCTGACTCTAAACATAGTCATTTATATATTCCAGTTGGCTATCATCAATTCTATACTCTAGTAAAAGCCAGGAGTTTCAGTTTAGGTTAGTAATTTAAATTCTTTCTGGAGAGTCATCGTATGTAAATGCTTATTTTTCTTTTATCACCAGCTGTAATGTATCATTATGTGGTACAGGCTCTGTTATGTAAACTTGTTTTATATCATACTTCATCCATAACCAGAGTTCTTAAATAAAGGGTTGGGAAAGGAAATAGCAAGGCCTTCAGCCAGGACAGCAGCATGCTACTAAGTCCCTGATGGAAAAACTCCTGAAAGTAGATCATTTTGATGTCTTAAATTTTGTTGCAGTGAGACAACATATACACTGTAGAAGCCCATTAGTGTATCTTGTCACCAAGCTAAAACTGACAGCCATGATGATAGCACAATAGGCAATTTGGGCGGGGACAACCCAAGTATAGAGTCTGTATCTCTTACTGCCAAGTGTCTTTTTTGGTTTATGTTTTGGTTACTTTTCTCTCATTGCTGAGACAAACTATCTGATACCCAAAATTAATAAAGGAAAGGTTTATTTAGCTCACAGTTTGTGGAGGTTCCAGTCCATACTTGGCTGGCTCCAAGGCAGAGTGGCACATGGCAGAGAGCAACTGTTTTGCTGTCTACACATAAGACAGCAAAAGCAACAAGAGCAAAAGGGAGGAGTGGTGGCAAGCAGCCTCTTTCCCCTACGTATGCAAACTACCCGCCCCAGGGCAGGTGTAGCATTTACACCCATAATCCCAGCACTGGATCATGGATCAAACATAAACTCTAAAACCCCACCCCATGACTGCATGAGGCTTTTGGGGGGACATCTAGACACAAACCATAATAGTTTATTTTGTTTTGTTTTGTTTTGTTTTATTTGAGGTACTAGGGATTGCATGCAGGGCCTTTGCACAGACCTACCTCCCCAGCCCTTTTAATTTTTTTTTAAAATTTTATTTTTGAAAGTGTCTCGTGAGTTGCTAAGTTGCTCAAGCTGAGCTTGAACTTGGGGTTCTCCTGTCACAGCCTCCCAGAGTGCTGGGGTGCAAAGTGTTCTTGAGTGCTGGAGCAATCTTTTCCAGTGTTCAGAGCTAAGTCTAGATCATGAGCTTTTCAAAGGAAGATTAGTAACAACTTGAAGAACTTGGTAGAGCTTCACTGTTGCAGAAGTGAGCCTGAGAGATTTCTATACCCACCACTAAGGGAAATTTGGTGTATCTCTGGGTGCCTTCAAACAACGGGAATGGATCCTCATTTCTGGCACCTAACCTCAGAAAACTGTGATGTGCCAGGACTGCCGTATAGAGTGAGGTGGCTGGGGAGTCACACAAGGGCAATTACTGTATTCCGTGCCATGTGTGCGTTCATCCTTTGCAAGATGTCTCTATTTTATATGATACTAAGAAAAGCCACTGCCAACTACAGTTATACCTTGATGCAGAATCAGTGAGGGAAGGTAGATATTGGGAATTTTTCCAGCTGAAACCCTATCTGGGAGCTCCATTCCTCACACCCCAGAGGGACACACTTTCTGAGAAACAGAACACACACATACACACACAAGAGAAGCAGAACAATCCACCATACTTTCCCACAACCTGATAAAGTGACTGCCTCATTCTTTGTTCTTTTCCCAGTGTCACAAGGCAGCCAGCCTATGCCTAATTCTTGTTCTTGGGTCCGTAGATGCCAAGACTTGATTTAGACGGGAACGTGATTTGAGTTAGTGTGAGCACGCAGGCCCCCTCCCCGAGGCTTCGTGTTTTGTGGTTCCAGTTACCCGCAGTTAGCTGTCGATAGTACTAAACCCTGCTGCAGAGTGCAGTAAGCGGTCTTGAGGAGAGACCACATTCTCATAACTTTTATCACAGTATTATTATACTTGTCCTACTTTATTATCAGTTATTGTTAACGTATAAGTTAAACGTTATCATACGTGTGTATGCACAAGAAAAAAACACAGTGTCTATACAGTTCAGGGTTCACTGCTGTCTGTGGCTTCAGGCATTCCCTGGGCATCTTGTAATGTCTCCCCTATAGGTAAGAGGGGGACTGCCATATTCCCCTGCAGGCTGACCTAAATGAGCCTGGTGTTTAGACCTCTTGCATGAGGACTAGATACAGAGCTGAAGGGTCCCAGCAGGGACCTCAAGTCAGACTGGACTGGTATGAGCATGGTTCTGTCTTATAAGTACTTCTCAGTAGCAATATTAGGCATCTTGCATTGCCCTCAGCTTTGAACTCTTAGCTCACAACTGTGGTGTCAAAAATTGAATTTAGCAATTTTGAGGACTGCAAAGGA